GGTGCGGGGGGCAATGTCCCTCCTAGGTGGTCTGCATGCCCCAGTACATGGGGACAGGGAAGTTACTATGGAACTGCCCTGCTGTCTACAGCCACCTACCACCAGCCTCAGTCCCCACTCTCACACGCCCAGTTGCTGATGTGTGTGACAGTGACAGTGTGTGTTGGAAGGCGGTTTGGATGAGGAATTCTGAGGTGCTTAAGGCTGCTGCCTTTCCTGTCCCTGCTTCCTCTTTCACAGTGCTCTGCCAGCACAAAGTGGCAGGAAGTGTGGATAAGAGAAAGGCTTTTGTATTTGGAACAGCGGGAAGTCCAGCCTCCCATCCCATTTCCCAAAGGGCAGCATTGGCTTCATAAACATAAGGCCACATAAACAGATTGTAGTGGGCCCTTGGCCTCCGTGGTCATAGAAGTAGAGGTCACATCTCTGCTGCACTGTGGCTGGGATGGATCAGGAGACTAGTGCCTCATGGCTCAACAAACACCAGTCCTCAAGTGGGCAGTGTGTGAGCAGTGATCTTTCTGCAGGAGGTGGCCTGCTTGCTCTGTGTCTGGCTCCATGTGCGTGAGGATGGGAGAGAAGTCATATGCAGTTTCACCCCGAGCAGCAAGAGGCCATACTGCCCCTTAGAAGCCACCTTCCACGCCCAGGGACACAGAGGCTGCATGGCACCCAGCATCTGGGCCAGAGTGGGTCAGGACAGGTGGCTCCGGCCCAGCCTGCAAACTAGGTGGGAACTGTTTCACACGTAATAGAGTAATGACTCCTGACTTGTGGGCTGAAGCCCCGAGCCCATCCGTGCACAGCCATGTTTCATTGTCCTTAGGACCTCAGAAGCCATGCGATTGAGGTTGTCAGCAGGTGGCATGGTACATGCTGTTGGCTGCACTCTATACCTACCTGAGTATTGATCCTGAGAGCGTGTGGGACTAGTTTAGGCTGTGCTTGCCCTCTGCCAGCTTTGTCACTGAGGGGATGGGGGTTGTGGACTTACGTGTTACTAAACTCTAAGGAACATAGTGGGGGAATAGGGGGTCTCTTGCGGGCTTTCGAGTTCTGTCTTGTGGTGGGGGGATGTAGTGTGGGTATAAGCCTCACCTGCATTTACCTGGTGGCCAGGACAGACAGGGCACACTTATGAAAGGGCTCTGGTTGCTCAGCATGTGCTTCTATCCCTCCCTTCTGATGACCAAAGAGCCCTGGTGGCACAGTGGTTAAAGTGCTTGGCTACGAAGCACTTTAACCCCAGGAGCTGCTCTGCAAGAGAAAGATGAGGCAATCTGCTTCCGTAAGATGGCCACCTCAGAAACTCACTAGGAGTCAGAATCAACTTGAGGACAGGTTTGGGTTTTCGGTAGAAGGACTGATGCTCCCTGGGCAGCAGGGTCAGGACATTGAGGTCTTTTGTGTCTGAGGAGACAGCTTGCTGCTGCTTCACTGCTTCAGTGCCATCTTGTGTGACAGGCACACCCCCAGCAACCCAGTCCCGTGCACCTACCCTGACCCTGTGTGTACACGTCTGTATCATCTCCTTCATTTTAATACTTGGTGAGTCTGCTATCAGACAGATAGATCTCTTCAGAAAACAACAGCTGAAAAGGTAGGGGGGGGTCGAGTAGTTAAGCAATACAGATGAACCAGGTACACATATTGGCTTGAGGTCTCATCACTTCATTCCGAAGGCCGCCCACGGAGAAGGTGGGGATATTAGTGCGTCTGGAGGCTCAGGCTTAGGGGCTGTGCGTGGGGGACGCACACAGCTGGGAGGCATTAATGGCAGGGTAGAGCATTTGCATGTCTGGCCCAGTGTTTGGAGCGATATAACCATGACCTCAGATGGGCCGTGAAGGAGACACGTCTGTGCTGGTCTTGCCTTGGTGCCGTCTCCCAAGGTGACCCAGTGCGGTGTTTCAGTCCAGCCTCAGTTTACCGCTGTGTCCTAAGCCCCGACCTGCTGTATGCCACCCTGGTCCTGGGCACAGTGGCGCGGCCTGCACTGTAGCCGTTTGGCCAACCTGCGGAGCTTGCTGGGGAAGCTCTTGTCCATGTGGCGGTAGATCAGGGGTGTCACCGAGCTGCTGGAGAAGGCCAGGAGCCGGGCCAGGTCCTTGACCAGGGGCAGGACCCCCAAGTAATGACTCTCCATGGGTCTCCCCTTTGCAGCCACAAGCACCTGCCCCAGGAGGGTCAGATAGTATGGCGTCCAGAGCCCGAGCTGTGTGCCCACAGTAACCCCCAGCAGCCGGTGCTCGGAGGGCTCCAGCCTGCCTGCCTCACCGTGGCCAAGCGGCGTGTCTTCCTTGCGCAACCGGGCGATCAGCACTAGGGCGTAGAGGGTGGCCAGGGCGGGCACCACGTAGCCAACAAGAACCATGATGGCGTCGGCAGCCTCGGTGCTGCGCATGTCAGCACACTCGGCAAGCCGTGAGGACACGTGGCTGCAGATGTGGAAGAGCAGGGAGGAGAAGCTGGTGAGCAATGCACCACCCCAGACAAAGCCACACACATGCCGCGTGTTGTACACACTGGACATGTAGGTGCGCGGCAGCGCCCGCTCGATGTAGCAGTCAAGGCTGAGCAGGGCAGCAGAGTACATGGTCACCAAGGCAGACACATGGAACAGGGTCAGCAGCGTGATCTGTACCTCACTGCTCAATCGCCATAGGGCCCAGTGCGTGTGAGCTGGCCCTAGCAGGTAGGCGGGCGCCAGGACACCAAGGACCAGTCCGGCCACGGCCATGTTAACAAAGTAGACGTCGGGCATGCTCATGGTGCGGCGGCTGTGCAGGTTAGCCAGCACCAGCAGTGCGTTGTAACCCAGCCCCAATGGGAGGCCCACCAGCAGGTAGAGCAGTGAGAACGCCCACAGAGCCAGTGGCAGCTCCCGGCACAGCGGCAGGTCCACGCCACCCGCTGTCCCATTGGGTGTGTCACAGCCCCACATGGCCCCAGGTCCAGCGGCCTGCGGAGAGAAGAGGAGAGTCACCAAGTGCTAGGAGAGACCCCGGAGCCTGCTGGCCTCTAGGAAGGGCCTCCCTGAACACATGTCCTTTAAGAGAAAGCTGGTGGCCACAGACATCCGCATGCCTCCCAATGCTGGGCTGGGTTCTGAAGGGTCGGCCGCTCCAGAAACTCACTCAGGCCATTTGGCGGACAAACCCAACCCAGTCAGGGGTGTGAGGAGAGTCCAGCCATGGCCATGCCCTCCCACAGGGGCACCGCGCGCCCCGCCCTGACGAGTTCCAGTGAATATTAGAGCCACAGGGCTCACGAGCATGCCGACCCATACCACAGGTCCTGCCTGCCATGACACCCCACTGCCCTGTCACTCTCCTCCCCATCGCCTCTACATCCCAGTCACTCACTGCTGCATCACCTCACTGCCCTCAACTGCAGCTTCTTTACTGAAAGGTGGGGACAGAAAGACAAACGATTTTCTGGGGAGGAATGGAGGCAAGACACCATGCAGCCTGGTGGGCTGGGTCCTCAGAAGGGAAACCCAGGTCCTCACCACAGCCAGGGGGCTGAGTAGAAGGGACAGGGGACCCAACAGCACCGTGCCATCACCTGGATGTCGCCTGGTGACCCATCCAGACCCATCGTGACTGGGGGTCAGTTAACACCACAGGCTGCTGAGACTCTGAAATCCCTGTGTCCTGCCTCGGCCAGGGCCATAGCTGCCAAGGTCCCCTGTCCCTCTGCTTGTCCTTCCTCCTGCCCCAGGGGACAAGATGCAAGAAACTGCCTGGGGTGTCAGAGATGTACACAGCTTCCCACGGGCCTTCAAGTGGCTCCATGGAGACCCAAGCCAGGCTGGACGGGGACCTGAGGACTCCCCCAGCTCCCAGAGCCTGGTCCCCTGGTCTTTGTGGCAGGAGTGGAGCTTCATGCCAACATCCCCCTGTGGCCAGGTGTGCAGTGGCTGCGGGGGTCCCAGTGCTCTGACAGGAGCCAATGGCTCCCAACCAAAGACCAGGCCTGGGAGGCTGGAGAGAGCCATGTGTCAAGCTGGCCTGTGCCTCCTCACCCGCCAGGGGGCCTGCCATGGTGTCAAATCAAGAAGTCGGCGGGCAAACAGAGCTGTGATGAGGAGCTTTCTGTCCCCCATGTAGCTGCTGGCTTCACCAGCGTCCGTTCTCCAAGGAAAACCTCACAATCACAGCATAGTTTTGCCCAACCAAGGCTCCTGTACTCTGAATTAAAAAAATAACCTCCTCAGCCAAACACAGACAAAGCAGACCTTTCTCCTTCCCAGAGCTCAGAACAAAGTGAGGAAGCCGGCCCTGCCCCCACCCAGCAGCACGGACACCCGGCTCCTGGGGGCCAGGCAGCCACAGGAAGGCCTGGCTCTGGAGGAAGGCTTGTATGAGCCCAGGCTCTGCTCCCTCAGCCTGCTGCCTGACAGGCCTAGACCCCCACCTGGGAAGTGGGGAGCAGCTGGGACATCCAAAACTAATGGGGGTGTTTACTAATCTTGATAAAGGTACCCTCTGAGCTGCCTGTGGTCTGTCTACACCTGATCCCTGACCCTGGGCTCACAGGGAAAGGTAGAGACACTGCCCTCATAGGAGGAAGTTCACAGACCTGCATGTCCCTTACCCAGGCAGGTTGACATGGGAGGCGGGCAGTGAGCGCAGACTACGAATTCAGCCTAGTGAAGAAAAGTAAAGTGTGTCAGATGCCCTCCTCTTGTGTGCTCACAGTCCTGTGGACAGATCCTTCTGTATCTCAGCGTCTCGCACTCAAATAGCGGATGGATAGATGGATGCATGGGTGGGTGGGTGGGGAGTATTAGATCAATAGATGATGAATGGGTGGGTGGATGTGCTAATTTTTGTTCGGGTGCATGTCCATAGTTCTGGGACAACAGACAAAAAAATACATTGAATTTGTGGGAACATTTCACAATCCTCATGAATGCCACCCAACAGCATGATGATGAATGACAGATGGCAGAGGAGGTGATGAGAGTCACACCCATGTGGTCAGCACTAGGACTGCCCGCACCCACGCTTCAGCCATGCCTCCCTCATGTCCAGTCCCTGTCGTCTGATCTCCACACATCCCTTCATCTCTGGGCACTCTGCATCACAGGCTGAGGTGGAGAGTGGGAATATGTGTTGGAGCTCAGTCTGGTGAGGGAGATGACTCCAGTACACAAAACATGCCAGAAAAGGCCACACTCGAAGACATATCCCCCACAGTGAGCGTCGTGAGAAAAACCATGCTCTCTCCCACACACGTGTCCCCATAGTGAGGTTGTGAGGAAACATAGACTCTCCCACACATGTCCCCATAGGATTGTGAGGAAACATACACTCTCCCACATATATGGCCCCATGGGATTGTGAGGAAAAGGACTGTCTCCCATGTCCCCATGGGATTGTGAGGAAAAGGAGACTCTCTCACATGTGGCCCCATAGTGAGATTGTGAGGAAAAGGCTTCTCTCACACAGTGAACGGCTGTGTGGTCCTAAGGCAGAGGACACTCTCACACATGTGTCCCTGCAATGAGTGTCATGGGGTTAGTGACTGTCAGGAGTGGTGGGTTGTCTGTTGTCTGTCAGCTTTTCTCTCTGAATTCTCCCCTGCCTCTGCCTCCACCTTTCTTTCAGGCCCCTCCTGTCACCTGCCAGGCAGCCCCTGGTCCCCTCCTTCCAGAGGCTGAGGACCGCTGGTGGGGGTGCCCAGCAGCCTCAGCTGTAAACCCTTCCTTCCACTCTCCTGAAAACAACAGGTTCCTGTGGCCACTGCGAATGTATTTCAGTGAGAGAATGTTTTCACCCCAAGACAGCCCTGCTGGTCCCATCACCCCATTATGGCTGTGTCACTCCTGGTCTGACTGTACCCAGCCCATCGTCCTCTGGGCCCCCACCCCACCCCCCTTCCTCATTTTAAATCTTTGTCCTCGCCTCTGGACAAAGTCCCCACAGTCCTGTGGGAGCACAAGGCGGGAGTGGGAAGAGCATCAAGGAGGGAGGGCTCTTCCTTCACTGAGAGGCAGTCTCCCCATTGACAGAAGCAAAACACCTGCCCACCACCTGATTGGCCTCATGAGTGCCCTCCGGCCGCGTCTCTACTCACCCAGCCCCTCATGCAACCATGTCGTCGTCGAGGGCGTCCTGTGCACCCCGCATTCTCTGCTGCACTTGCACTTGCTCAGGAAGCCCAGGCAGCCAGAGGGTTCTGTTGTGTGTTTCTCTGGAAACCCCGCAAGCACCTTATCAGCAGTGGCCATGCAGCCAGGCTTCCTGTGCATGCGCGCGCGAGCCAGTGAACGCGGGCCACACTTGTTTTTCTTCTAGTAAATTACTCACAGAGTTTCTGCCTCGCTTGGCAGGCTGCTGCGGTCCCTCCCTCCCTGTGTTTACAGCCAGTTTCTAGAAGAGCCAGGCTGCACTCCAAAGAGTGGGCTGAGGGCAGAAGTGTGCATACCCTTACCCTCCCCATCACATGCGCTGGTTCCGTAGGCACTGCAGGGTTGCCGTGGGGAGGAGACACATAACAGCCAGAGGCAACTTCCTCATCCTCCTATGGACGGGAAGTTGAGCAAAGTGTTTCGCTTCTCCTTGAGGACATTCCTCTGCAGGACAGGGACAGGGTGGCGTCTGCCTTTGAGAGGATTGGGCCAGGGGTCAAAGTCAGCAGGGGAGATGGCTGCTGTGCTCTGCAGGCTCTAGATGAGGGTCCCCAGTGACCCTGAGCATGACCATCCTGGGGGGGTACACCTTCATAGTGTTTACTTCACACAGTCTTGCGATCACATGGCCACCAGCAGCTCTGTGGCCGGTTTTGACGTCATACTCGGTAGCTATAGGTCCCATTTTCACTGTGTCCTCCGACTTGCTCTTTCATCACCACTGACTGTCTCCTCCATTCCCCAAAGCATGGAATGTCCTGAAGGTGGCGTGGCTGGGTTGTCTGTGTTGGGCATGGTGACACTACAGTTGCTGGTCTGAGTGGACACTGCCCCAGCTGGGGTCCAGGCAAGCACAGCAGTGGGGAAGCTTCCTTCACCCTGAATCCTCCCATCTTTAGTGCCCTGGGGATAAGGCAGCAGCCTTCCTGGGCTCCTCTGTTCCAAGCCTTGCTGTATCTGTCACGTTAGCCCTTGGCAGCTCCCTGATGACTGGCACATAGGCGGCAGGTCAAGAGTTCCTGCCTCTCCTGCCATAGAGCTTCCTGTCTTGAGCAGCGCCTCTTGTTCTGTCTCAGACAGGCTCTGAAATGCAAGCCCCAAGCTCACCACATCTACAGTGACACTGCAGAAATGCACGAAAAGTCAGGGTTCATGACCCACTTCCCAGGTCCCCTCCCCCACAACGGCCTTCACAGCCTCGCCCCCACAGTCACATTGGCGGGTCTGGCCACCTGCCTTCTGTCCCCACCCGAGCACCTCGTCATTCCTCACCTGTACTAGCATCCACATGGCCACTCTTGCAGCCCACTCATCCTTCTTGCTGTCCTCTCACCAGCCTCAGCCATACCCTGCCAGTCTCCCTCCGGAAACTGGGCATTCCTACCAGCCTCAACCAGTCAGCTCAGCGGTCAGGTCAGGCTCTCGTATCTCGGGGGCCTGCTGTGTCTTCACCTTTTCCTTCGTCTTCCTGACCTCCAAGACCAGAGGTGGGCCAGGCACCACGCCTAGGCACAGCAGGCTAGTCTGTCCCGGACTGACTCAGATGATCACCCACAGGGGCACCTGGAAGCCAAGGCCCTGACAGCATTTGTAGGAAGTGCATGCAGAAACACCCCACACTCCATCATCCCACAGTGGTTAGCAACTCAGGTCACAGCCAGGTGGGCAGGATTCCAGTCGGAGCCAAACTGTGACAAGCTGGTGACAGCCCGCATCACGGTTTCCTATCTTGAGGGAGTCTCTGCAATGGTTAGCACTCAGCATGCTACCCCGCCGACAGTGTGTAGTGTCACTGAGCAGGCCTTCAGCCTCCTTCTTCACTGGTCACACAGGCTGCTCTGCAGGCCTCCACGCAGACAGACTGACAGGCGGGAGCTGACACACCAAGCCCACCTCTTCCAGGAGAGCAGTGTCTGGGCTCTGGGAATGGCTTCTCCAGCACGTCCTGCCTTTTCCACTGAGGGCAGCAGTCAGGAGCGCTTTGGAGGGAGATCCCAACATCCTGACCTCACAACAAAAAGCTCAGAGGTCCCACTGCCAGCCAGCCACAGTAGGGTCCATGGGGGCACAGAATCAGATTGGAAAGGGGGTGATAGACCCAGCTAACTGTTATGGGGGCAGAACTGCCACCCTGGTAG